GGAGGCGGAGGTTGCGGTGAGCCGAGATCGCGCCATTAACCTCAAACCAGGGAAAAAAGAGTGAAAGCCCAACCAAAAAAAAAAAAAAAAAAAAGAAAGTGCTATGCTAATTTTCCAAAGTGGTTTCACCATCTGATTCTCCCACACCAGAGCATGAGAGTGTTGTGTGCTCCACACGGTCTAGCCATTTTAAAAAGTAAATCAGGCACCGTTACTTATCTGCAACAAACAACCCGCTAGTAATCTAATGATGGGATATTTGATTATATTAAGGAATTATTGTTAATTTCTAGGTGTGAACAATGACTTTATGGTTATGCTTAAGAGAAGTCCATCATATCATTTAGAGATACATAGGGAGATACTTACAAGTAAAATGATAGGATGGCAGGAAGTAGGAAACGGAAATGCAGATGAGACCAATTGGCCATGAGTTGATCTCTGCTGAAGCTGAGTGATGGATACATGCTGAGCTCATCATCTTCTTGTCTATACTGAAGGGGTTTGGTGTGTGCCACCCCAAAATATGCCTCTCTAGGATAAGGATTATTTTAAGCTGAGGGCAATTGAGAAAAAGCAAAGACGGGACAAGCTCTCTGCTTTCCCCCATCTATGTGAAAATAGAACATAAATTCCTCTTGTGAAAGTGTCCCCCTCTGCTCCCCCAACCCCCTCTTTCCATACTAGGAAGGGGAGAACAGGCTTCGGTCTGGAGACAAGATGGCACCCGGAGTCTACACCAACAAACCTTACTAACTACTCATCTATCGCTGGTGCCCCTGCATATTCCCCTTTCCACAGTTGGCCACCCCTAGGAGCTCGGTCCTTTGCTTCCATCTTGCCACTTCAAAGTTTTTGTTCTTTGCTAAAAATAAGCCCAAGTTCTAACCCCCACTTTGAGTTACTCATCACTAAGTGCTCCCACCTGTATGTCCAATGCCCGGGTTAATAAACTTCTGTTTTTCTCTTGATAATCTGTCTTTTGTCGGTCTAATCTACAGGGAACAGCTGATGAACCAAAGGGGGATAAAGGAAAAAGATGTTTTTTCCTCCCTGTTATCCTCTGAATGTTTGTGTCCCCATACATTGAAACCTAATCCTAAGTGTGACAGTATGAGAAGGTTGGGCCTTCGGGAGGTAATTAGGTCACATGAGAGTGGTGCCCTCATGAATGGGATGCGTACCCTTCTAAAAGGGGCCCCAGAGAGTGTTTTTGCCCCTTCCACCATGCGAGAACTGTGCAAGAAGGCACCATCTGTGAACCGGAGAGCAAGCCCTCATCAGACACCAAGCCTGCTGACACCTTGATCTCAAACTTCTCAGCTTCCAGAACTATGAGCAATAAATTTCTGTTGTTTAGAACCCACCCACCTGATGGTATTCTTATTATAGCAGCCCAAACAGCTGAAAAGACTCCCCTACACTACTTTTGTGGATTCTTGAAATTGTCAGCAAGAAAGAGTTGTTCAGGACCTGCCTGAGCAACATAGTGATACCCATCTGCCAAAAAATGTTAATATTTAGCCAGGCATGGCTGCACATGCCTGTGGTCCCAGCAACTAGGAAGGTTGAGACAGGAGGATCGCTTGAGCCCAGGAGGTCAAGGCTGCAGTGAGCTATGATTGCACCACTGCACTCCATCCTAGGCAACAGAGAGAGACCCTGTCTCTAGGACGCAAAGGCACAAGAATGACATGATGGACTTCAGGGACTCAGGTAGAAAGGGTGGGAAGGGGGCGAGGGATAAAAGACTACAAATTGGATGTGGTGTATTCAACTCAGGTGATGGGTATACCAAAATTGCACAAATTACTCAAGAGTTTACTCACGTAACTAAACACCACTTGTTCCCCCAATAACCTATGGAAGTAAAAAATATTTTTTAAATAAAAAGCAATAAGAAGAATAAAAGGAAAGAAAGAGTTGGTAAAATCCTCCATTGGTTCCCCATCTCACTCAGCAAAAGCCACAATCCTTGGAAGGCCCCTTTTCTCTGACAGCACCTCCGGTTACTCCCCCACTGACAGTGCTCCAGCTGTGGAGCACATACCAGGAATTATATTAAGGAATTATTGTTAATAATTTCTAGGCGTGAACAATGATTTTATGGTGAAGTTTAAGATAAATCTATCATATCATTTAGAGATACATATGGAGATACTTAGAAGTAAAATAATCAGATGACAGGAAGTGGGAAATGGAAATGCAGATGAGACAAATTGACCACGAGCTGGTCTCCCCTCCTGGCTGTTTCTTGGCCATGCCAAGCACCGTCCTGCATGAGGCCTCCACACTGGCTGTTCCCTGTGCCTGGCACACTCTTCCCCCAACAGCCCATGGCTACCTTGCCTTCAACTCTGCTCAAGGGTCATTTTAGCAATGAGGCCCACCTTGAGCACCCTGCTTAAAACTGCAAACCCTCACTCATTTTGACCCTCCATAGCATCAAGTACCTTCTAATATATTATAAAATGGGTTTATTACTTACGGTGATTGTTGCCTGTCTCCCTCTGCATACTTGGAAGCTCTATGGAAGGAGAGCTCTTTATTTTGTTCCGCATTAATATTTCACCAGCTCCCACAACAAGTGCCTGGCTATAGAAAGAGATCAATAATCATTTGTTTGGATTGAAAGAAAGAAAGGAAGGAGGGAGGAAGTAGGGAGAGGAAGAGAGAGAAAGAGTGGGGTATTGTGTAACCCTTTCCTAGGGGAAAGAGACCACACATGAAGGCATGTTTTTAATTCTACTGGCATTTTATTTTGGCTAATTTGCTGTTCAATTTATTAACTTGTTTGGTTAGTTAATATCAGACATAAAGTCAAGGGTAATTTTTTTGTTTTGGTATGTTGTTTTCTTTTTGAGGGTCTCGCTCTGTCACCCAGATTGCAGTGCAGGGACATGACAGCTCACTGAAGGATCATTTCTTGGTCTAGGCTATCGGCTGGTCTTAGAATCAACTCACCTGCAATCGTGTCCATCCCATTGTCAGGGACATCCTAACCGGGGTGACTCCACCTTGAATAAAGGCCAGATAAAGCCAAACTGGCTGGGTTCCATTCCCAGGGGGCTAGGTACTCTTCATCACAAAATGTTTATAGTTCAAAGGAGTTAATGATGCTAATTAAATAGAGACCCAGAACTTCTGAAAATGTCCCGATATTTAAAAAACAAAAAGTCCTTTGTTTGCGAATAAGTTTCACTTTAAAGGTAATAATGCCTTCATAAATTCTTGCTGAAATCTATAGTTACATAGGAAAATAACAATGCTAACAGCCTGTCACAAGCTGATCACAAGCTTTTGTTAATAAAGTCTACTATTCTTAGCCTTAACAACACATGTAAGCAAGTGTTATGGCTAAGTTGGGGGAATTCGTCCTGCTGCTTTCTGAGGACACCCTGTAATAGAGTAGCTTCTAGTAAACTGTTTTATTTGAATACAGTAGTTTCTAATAAACTGCTTTAACTTTGCTTTGCATTGCGACTCGCCCTCTTTCCCACATGAGATCCAATAACTCGCTCTTGGGATCTGGGATGAGACTCCTTTTTCCAGTAACACTATGTGTGTTCTCGGCTTTGAGAGGCAGCCTGGGGGATAGAAGCTGCACATCTGGACCCTTCAGCTCTCCGAGCCCAGGTGCAAGATTGGGACAGTGACCTGGTAGCATCCCGGGGCTCCTCTGATACTCTGCTGGTCTCCATCCTTCCAAGAGAACACCCCCAAAAGGCTGACCACAGGCCACAGGGGGAGGACTGGGAAGACTGTGTGTTGGTGGGGGGTGAGAATGGGGGAGAGGTGTTAGACAAACACTTCCATCTTTCTTACAGTGATCTCTCGGTGACCTGGGTGAGCCAAGGACCTTAAGTGGGCTCCTATAATGGGGTCAAAGCCTTTTATGGGTCAGATGTTAAAGTGCCCTTCCTTCTCAAGGCTCTCTTGGCCTCTTCAGAGCAAAGATGATCTAGGGATAGGCCAAAAGGAGCACCAGGAAATCCTACAGTGATTCCCAACTGAGGAGAGAGGGAGCACCAGCAAACCCTATAGGGAGCCCCAACTGAAGTGTGAACGATGGAAATAAAGGGAGTCCACCTGAGTGTGGGGCTGAGCCCCATATGAACACCAAACAGCCGGGCTCCATCCTTCTGCCCTGGCCAGTGTCCTCCCTTGCAGGATAGACCCACAAGGCCGTATCCTAGAGGCGAGAGGAGGCGCCAAATCCTGGAAAAGAGGACTGTGGAATTGGGAATCAGGCCGAGTGTTTATCTCATGCAAAGCAGCTCCCTGGGAACCTCCAGGGGAGAAGAGACTCAACACACACAAACTGAACCCTCCGGGCTCTAGGCACCCTCGGCCTGCAGCTGCTGGGGGAATGAAAAGTGCCTCCTTTCTCTCCTTTCCCCTGTACTATTAGCAAGGAGCTACACACACAAAAAGGCCTCATTCACAAGCTCCAAGGCTTGGCCCTCTACTGAAAGCTTTCTGAAAATGCAAATGTCTCAGAAGTGGATTCTTCTTTTCAAACACTTATAGTGGCATGTTCCCATGGAGCTGTGAAGCAGACCAAGAGTTCCCTGGGCAGGAGGCTCTTTAAAAATAACATTTGCATTTCAAAGAGGCAGAATTTCCAGCTGTGAAGTCCGGCTGGAAAATAGAAGGTAGGAGTCTCACCTCCTGGGGCTGTGCACGTGTGAAGCACCCACTCTCCCTGTCTGTGCCCCACCCCCACCATGGTCTTGCCTCCTCCATTCCTTCATTCAGCGCTAGCTTAGGAGTGACAGAAGCCCTGGGTGACTGGGGACTCTCAAGACAGAGCTGTTCCCCACAGAAGCTCAAATCTAGTGAGCTGGACAAGCCTGTAAATGAGTTGACTCCTCCCCCATTCCAGGGACCCTGGGCCTGCCTGTTCCCTTCACCCCATAGAACCAGGAGGTCTGGGTTCAGCTCTCCCCAGAGGAGCAGATCCCCACTGCGGTGAAAAGCACGGGGCACCCTCTCTTCTCTCAGGCATCAGATAGGATTCAAGCTGAGACAACTGAGGAAAAGAGCAGACTCCTCTCCTCTCAATACCTTCCCCATTCACCACCAAGACGTCACTCGGTTAAAATGTCCATTTTCCCACCCTGATCATACAGGATTGCATACCACATATTTGTTATCTGCTTTTATTTCCACTTCTCAAGGAAGCTTTCCATGTAATATCCCATTTTTAAACAAATGCGTGGCATTTCATCCTATGACTGTTTCGTAATTGAGCCAATGAGATTCTACAGAGCTTACCATAGTGCCTATGGCTAAAGAATCCTGGCTTCGATATTAGTTAGACCCATTTACAGGGAGCGGGGATCCAGTTTAGACAATAGAGGAACTGGCTCCATCCAGCTTAGACAATAAGGGCACTCAATGGTTTATGTAACTGTAAAGTCCGAAGGCAGTATAGGCTTTGGGGAGAGCTTAATCTGACATTCTCTTTTCTTTCCCACTGCCCTCCTCTGCCTTCTGTGGTCTCAGCTTCCCTCCCCTTTGGTTATAAGATGGCAGAGCCTGGAACAGAGCCAAAAGCACCCACAGGTACAATGGGACTTTGTCCACATCCAGAGAGAGTGCCCGCAAGCCTACGAATTTCCCAGCATTCCAAGCAAGAGTCCTACAATTCACTCTGATTGGACCAACCTCAGGCCACATGCCCAGCGATGACTGGGCCTCGGGGAACTGGAATGTGTTGACTGGCTGAGACCATCTGGGGGCCATCTAGGGGCCACCTGTGAATTGGGTTGGGATTAGCTTCCCTTGAAGTGAGTAGGCTGTGTGAGAGAAGGCAGAATATCCAAATGAAAAGTATGTTATTTTAGTAAAGAAGTGTGGGAAACCAAAATATGCCACCCAAAAATATTCTTCTTTGGCATATTTTCGGTTGGCTGTTCAGAGGGGCTACAGACACAGAAATAGCTCTGGAAAGCTGTGTTTCTGTGGGGAGATTTGCATCTGTAGTAGAAATCTACATCAGTGAAGTAAATTGTGGATGCAAAGAGGCTTCCTCTGAGACCCCTTTATCTGCCTTATCCAGATCTCTCAGGAGAAGGAAACTAAAAAGCTTGACACTTTTAAAGGTCTGACAGATAAACTTTTTTTTTTTTTTTGAGGCAGAGTCTCACTCTGTCACTGAGGCTGGAGTGCAGTGGTGCGATCTCAGCTCACTGCAACCTCCACCTTCCGGGTTCAAGCCATTCTCCTGTTTCAGCCTCCCAAGTAGCTGGGATTACAGGAGTGTAACACCACATCCAGCTGATTTTTGTATTTTTAGTAGAATTTCAACATGTTGGTCAGGCTGGTCTCAAACTCCTGACCTCAGGTGATCCACCTGCCTCAGCCTCCCAAAGTGCTAGGACCACAGGCATGAGCCACCACACCTGACAGAGAAATTTGACCACAAGCTGTCTTCTGAACTCATATTGCAGGAAGAAAGACTGAAGGTTGTCAACACACCAGACATCTACTCTTTCTGCAAGCTGTTACTCATGAGCCTTCAACTGCATAATAAGACAGCCTTAGCTCACCATGCATCTCCTCCCTTCTCCTTCCCATAACCTATCGCCACCTCCCCTGAGATGTGCCAAGCCTCTCTTCCTTTCCATATGGTATAGAAACTTCAGCCATCTGGACTTCTTTTAGTCTCGTGTTTTGTGTGGCCCCTATGCATATGTTCATGTTAATATATTTGTGTGTCTTTTCTCCTGTTTATCTGTTGCCCATTTATCTCAGCAGACTTAAAGACTCAAACCTTCAGCAGGGGAGGGAGAGATTTTCTGCACCCCACAATCATGGAATGCTGAGAAGCTCATCAACGCATGTCCCTTTTTAGTATTGGTTTTTCTTTTTCTTTCTTTCTTTCTTTTTTTTTTTTTTTTTTTTTGAGATGGAGTCTTGCTCTGTCACCCACACTGGAGTGCAGTGGCATGATCTTGGCTCACTGCAACCTCCACTTTTGGGGTTCAAGTGATTCTCCTGCCTCAGCCTCCCAAGTAGCTGGGATTACAGGCACACCACCACATCCAGCTAATTTTTTGTATTTTTAGTAGACGCGGGGTTTCCCCATGTTGGCCAGGCTGGTCTTGAACTCTTGACCTCAGGTGATCCGCCCCCCTCAGCGTCCCAAAGTGCTGGGATTATAGGAGTGAGCCACTGAGCTTGGCCGATGACAATTCTTTCTACCCAGACTAAAATGAAAATTTTAAATCCAATACAATCCCTGAGCTTCCCAGATCAGAGAATGGCACAGAGGGCAGTATAAAAGTCCAGGAGAAAATATAAGATTTTAAATATTTATGTGTACCTTTCTTTTTATTTTGCACTGACTAAAAAATAAAGGAAAAATAAGTTAAATCACAAAATACTTAAAAAAAGAAAAAAAAAGACATGGAGGACATTAGGAAGAAGGGAAAGAAAATTAGGTCCAAAGAAAGAAAGCGAATCCAGGGATAAGATTAATACACAAAATGTTTGCCTTGAAAGTCCTTACACTTGCTAGATATGGATCAAAATGTGACTCAGCTTCCCTGCAGCCTATGCAAAGAGAAAACAAGACCAGCTGTATGTCCATTAGATAAAAACAAATCCGGTGCTCAGAAGAAGACAAATTCCAAGACCAGAAAAGAATTTCTTCCAGGTGTTTCTATCCGAAGGACCTGTGTCACGTAGTAAACAAGGCCCTAAAACCATCTTTCCAGTAAACAAAACAATGAGTACAAGGATTTATAAACCTCCCTTATTTAATTCAACACATGACCCCATGTGAGCGTAAATAAAGCAATTCTACCAGGGTGGAAAGCCTGGGGTGGTCCAAGCCGCCATATTCAATCCAAAAATAAATGCTAATGAGGAATGGAGCACTCTCGTGTATAAATGAATGTGTGACTGCCCATGATATTATGATACGATAAGAAATATGTATTTGGTCTTCATCCCGGGTTCCCGGCACAAGGTTCCTAAAACCCTTGGGATTTCTGAGTGACAGGAGTGAGAGGGGCATTTTCTGTTGCTCATCATAAGTCATCTTCAACCAAACCTGAGTTTATGCTAAAAAAACTGACTCTTGGAGGTTGGGGCTGATGGCCAGAGGCAATAACCATGTGTTTAAAGGGCTGAAACTTTCAGCTCCTCCATTCCCCATTCCCCTATTCCTGTAACCCCCAATCCCTACCGGCTACTTCAATATTCACCCCCACCTCCAGAGAGTGGAGAGGGGCTACAGACTGTGGTAATCACCAATGACCAAGGATTTAATCAATCATGTCTACATAACCAGAGCCTCCATAAAAACCCCAAACAGGCCAGGTGCAGTGCCTCATGCCTGTAATCCCAGCACTTTAGGAGGCCAAGGCAGGTGGATCACTTAAGGTCAGGAGTTCAAGACCAGCCTACTCAATGTGGCAAAACCCCGTCTCTACTAAAAATACAAAAATTAGCTGGGCGTAGTAGAGTGCATCTGTAATCCCAGCTACTTGGGAAACTGAGGCATGAGAACCATTTGAACTCATGGGGTGGAGGTTGCAGTGAGCCGAAATCATGTTGGTGTCACTGTGAATGAGTCAAAAGGTGTGCATGTGTGTGTGTTTGTGTGTGTGTGTGCGTGTGTGTGTATGTGTGCGGGTATGCATGTGCATATATGTGTGTGCGTGTGTTTGTGTGTGTGTGCGCATGTGGAGGCAGTGGGCGGGTCCCCTCACAGCCCTACATAACTCTCCGGTCTTCTGTCCAGTGCAGAGCAGTGGGTCCTGGAGGGAGTGGATGGCAGGCCCCTGTCTGTATCTTGCTCGTGGGCTCTGTGCTAGGTGGACCTTGGCCACCTCACCGTCCTGCAGGACATCATGCTGGTCCACTGCACTGATGGTATCAGGCCTAGGACTTGGTGAGGTGCCTCAGATGCTCCAGAAGTTACTTTCATTCACCAATGGCCTCCTTTTGTGCAAATAGATTGGACAAGGCTGGGCTCTTAAAGACAGCAATCCCAAATAGCTGCAAGGTGTTTAGCTTTTTTCTTTTCTACTTTCTTTAATATATTTTCTAATCAAAGTATGTAATAATATATGTAGTTTTTTTGTTTTTTTTTTAAGGGCAAGTAGAATAGCTTTTAAAATGGAAACAAAGCCACCTCCCGTATTTCCTTCCAACTCTGAGCTCCACTCCAAAAAAGCAACCACTTTTCTAATGTAAACTTGTTATTATATTGAGAAGGACGTAATCATAAGTGACCAGCTCAATACATTTTTACTAAG